CCGTGGGACAGAAAGAGAGCAAGGGAGAGAGAAGGACAAACAAACAGACAGTCACACTCTTTTGGTCGGCGGCGACAGAGACGCTCCGAAGCAGAGGCGGGCTCAAACAATCAGACGCAGACACAGAAGCACACAGACAGACACAGACACGCAGACACATACACAAATAGACGCATAGAAAGAGAGGCGCAGGTACAGAGAGAGAGAGAGAGACGCTCACCTTGTACGCTCGGCAATCAGCCGTCATCGACTCGCCCAAACGCGCCAGCGCAGGTCTCCCCGCCAGGGGCCTCGCTCAGGAGCGCGCCCCTGGGCAGGACGGCGTCGGCCGCGGAGAACGTGAAGCCCAGCATTTGCGAGAGGCGGCCAGCCATCAGTCGAGCGCGAACGTCCGCCAAGCGATCTTCGGGCGCCGCCTGGATGCGGTCGAACTCCTCCCCGCCAAGCGTCGCGAACTGTACCGAAGCTCCGTCGAAGGACGCCTGCAGCACCAGCATCGGCAACACATGCGGCGGCGAGGAGCAAGCCACGTACCGGAGACGCGCAGGCCGCCACGGCAGCCAGTCTGTCCATCGGGTCCGAAGGGATGGGACGTCGCACTGCCCGTCGAAATTGCGACCGCAGGTCGCAACTGTCCCGTCGCTCCTCAGTAGCACGGTGTGAACGTGACCCGCGGCAACATGCGTGTAAGCCAGGCCTCCGTCCAGCGCGGGGACGTCGCACCGCCCGTCGAAGTTCTGGCCGCAGGCCGCGGCTGCCCCGTCGCCCCTCAGCAGCACCGTGTGATAGGCACCTGCAGCCACTCGCTTGTATGTTAGGCCTCCACACAACGCTGGGACGTCGCACTGCCCATCTGAATTACCCCCACAGGCGATTGCTGCTCCGTCGCTCCTCAGCAGCACAGTGTGAGCGTGACCCGCAGCGACCTGCGCGTAAATCAGGCCTTCACCCAGCACTGGAACATTGCACTGCCCGTCGTCATTCCGGCCGTAAGCCGCGGCTGTCCCATCGCTCCTGAGCAGCACCGTGTGATACGCACCCGCGGTGACCTGCGTGTATGTCAAGCCTCCGCTCAGCACGGGGACATCGCACTGCCCGTCAGAGTTGCCACCGCAGGCCGCAACTGTCCCGTCGCTCCTCAGCAGCATGGTATGCGCGACGCCGGCAACGACCTGCGTGTAAGTCAGGCCTCCGCCCAACGCCGGAACGCCGCACCGCCCGTCGAAGTTCTGGCCACAGGCCGCCGCCGTCCCGTCGCTCCTCAGCAGCACCGTGTGATAGGCGCCCGCAGCGACCTGCATGTACGCCAGGCCTCGGCCCAGCGCGGGCACGTCGCACTGCCCCTCGGCGTTCTCGCCGCAGGCCGTGGCCGTCCCGTCGCTCCTCAGCAGCACGGTGTGAGCGAAGCCTGCAGCGACCATCCTGCAGCCGAGAGGCTGGCGAGACCATCGCGCCAGGCGCTCGGGCCGAGCGGCTACGGGCGGTCGCCGAGGCGGTCGCCGAGCGGCGTCCGAGGGCCCGAGCGGGCCGTCGCCCTCGCAGCAGGAGAGGCGGCTGCTCGCAGGGCACGGCGGAAGAGTCCGCCCGCTCGGTGGCAGCTCGCGGGAGCCTGCCGTGCCAGCTCGTCGGCTCCTGCGGGTCGACGGTAGTCGGCGCTGAATCGACGCTAGTCGACGCCAGCCGAGGCTAGATCGGCGCCACCTCGTCGACGCCCAGGCGCCAATCGACGCCAGTCGACGCTCAAGACGGAATCAAGAGGGTATACCAGGCTCCCATGATTTGCTACCGAACGCCATCGGTGCGCGTGCAACGCACCGCGCGAGGCCGAATGCCAGGAGCGGCTACTCACCTTTCGGGCTGTGCAGCCCAGCGGCCGTGGCCTGCCATGTCCTCAGGGGTCCGTGAGGGGGAGGTCGACACGCGGTGTACATTGCTCTTTTCCTTTAAACCTCCTGCGTTTTCTCCTTGCTTCGAGCAGGGCATGGTGCTCCTCTTTCCATCCTTCTTTCTCCACTCCCCCTGCGTCTCCGTGCTCTTGGTGGCTTCCCCTAGATGGCCTTTGTGGGCTTCCGCTGCGTGCAGGGCTCATACTGGCTTCCCCTGGCCGGTTGCTCGGAATGGCCCGAAGGGGCCCTCCAAGGCCACCCCCTTGCTCCCAAAGATCTCTCTGTTCACCCTGGTTGCCCGCTTTGTTGTACTAGATGTGTCTCTTCGTCCCTGTTCCCGTCAGCTCTCTGGGCAACGTTCCTGAACGGACTGATGGGGATATGCGAAGCGTGAAGAATTTGTAGCACTGTCGCCAGCCCTGGATACAATGGGAGTCCTGCGGGGCGGTGCGATGAAGGCACCCAAACGAATTACATCTCGGATACCTTGCCTGCCCCGTTGCTACCGAACGTGAAGATGTCGCCACTTCATGGGCCTCTTACGAGTCCAGCGGGGCGGTGTGACACGGGGTACTCAAACCAAACCTCGCTTCCCTGGGACCTGCCAGACGAGGAACCGTCGCTATTTCCTGAGCCTGTGGTTATCCAGCGGAGCAGCTCGACACCGACCCAAACCTAAACAATGATTTCCGTGTTCGTTTTGTTTTTTGTTGTCCCTCACTCTGTCTTCGGTACGCCTCGGGTGCAAAACCAAATCAAAACGGAAACGGTCAACGACATCGCCGAAACACAGATTGGCTCGAGCCCGGAAAACTAACCATCGCTCCAGGGGGTGCTCCAGGACGTGAAGCAGCTGCTGCTTCCCGAGTCCCTGGGGAGTCCAGTGAAGCGACGTCCTGCGGGGGTCCAAGTCTAGCTGAGCGGCGCGACACGGACACCCAAGCTACCAGCTAGACTTCGCTTCCCCGGGCGCTCCCAGACTCAGGCGTAGAAGTGCTGCCATTCCTGGGGCTTCGACAGAAACCAACACAGAGGCGCGACAAGGGGGCCTAAGCTGTCAAGCGTAGAGTTGTGGGCACTTACTGTGCCCCTGGGGAGTCCAGCGGGGTGATGTGCCACGCAGATCCAAACCAGAAAACGGTCGCCTCCCTGGGCGCTGCCAAGCGTAGAACTGTCGCAACATTTGAATCGTATGGTAGAACTGTTGCAACATTTCGAGCGACGCTCCACGCTGATACAAACTAGACGTCGCCTCCCTGGGCGATTCGGGGATCCAACATACGACGTCGTCTGCCCAGTGCTACCAAAACGCCTTGGGTGGACTCTATACGTCCCCAGTTGAGTTTTCTTGGGCCTCCAACTCGTGGCTGCGCTGGCTCTGCTGTGCAGATCACCAGCACGCCGAGCTCTGCTGGCGCGCGCGCGCGCGAAGCTCTCAGTCCAGCGCGCTGAGCTGCACCCCAGGCGGCCCATCCGCGTGTCCGCTGGCCGCCGGCACCACCGGCGCCTCAGGCGCGAACGGCGGGCGGCCTTGCACCATCGCCAAAATCTCCTGATCTTGCTTTTCGATCTCCTCTGGGTAGCACCGCTTGATCACACCACGCTCGAAGTCCAGCCAGCGGCGCTGACCTTCAAGGTTGCCCTCGTGGAGCTCAGCCATGGCATGGTAGAGATCCAGCAGCTGGGGGTGGCACGGGTCGCCATAGAGCCTTGAAACGCTCTGGATCAGTGCCTCCAGCGCGCCCTTGTAAGAGCTCGTGCCCTCTGGGTTGCCCACGGGGCCCAGCGAGACGTGCGCCCAGACCACCTCGAAGACCGCGTGGTGGTGGCGGCCCAGCAGCCGCACATCGGAGCGGTCATCCGGCTCCGCCTCGGGCTCCGCCGTGGGCTCCGCCTGAGCGAAGCCTCCGCCCGCCCTGGCCTCCGCGGCAAGGCATCGCGCGGCATAGGCCGCCTCGGCGGGCACGCCGCAGGCCCTGCAGCGGAGCTCCGCCCCTGGCCTCGGGCTCACTGGGCACAGCTCAGGGGCGCCGCAAGCAGCGCAGAGGAAGGCGCGGGTCAGCTCGGGAAGATCCGTGCACCTGGGGCAGGTGCACTGGAAGCCCCAAGGCCCCAGCACCGCCGCCCGCCCCGCGGCGGCGAGGTAGGCGTCTGGCAGCTGGACGTAGTCGATGCTGAGGGCCTCGCCCTCCGCCACGTCGCGCAGCGCGCGGAAGGAGACCACCTGCGGCGCTGGCGTGCCCTGCCCAGCTCCGCGCCAGCTGCCCACAAAGCAGTTCGGCGTGCAAGAGTGCTCGAACATGCTGCCCGTGAACATCAGGTCCAGCTGGTTCAGGCCCCCCCCGAAGCGGTTGCTGCTGATGGCGTGTACGAGGTCGCGCACCTCGTCCTCCGAGGTGAGCCCCTGGAACTCCGGGCGGAGGACGCCGAAAATGTCCGCCGCGCACGCCTCGGGCACCAGCTCCTCCGACTCCGCCCGGCACAGCGCGGCCAGCTGCCGCAGGCGCAGCAGGGCGCGGGCGCGCTGCGCCTCGTCCTCCCCGCCGAACGCCCTGCGCCTCTCCAACAGCACGCCAGCGACGCAATCCAGGAGCGGGCTGCAGGGGTGAAGGCGGTCATCTGCGGGGTCCCCCTCCTCGTCGGAGCTGTCCCCCGCCTGATCCTTGGGCCCAGCCGCGAGGGCCACGAAGTCCTCGAGGTACACCTTCTGGCTCTGCGCCCCGTCGGTGCTGCCTCGGAACAGGGGGCGCTCCGACAGGAAGGCCTCTCCGGCTCGCAGGGGCCTGCACGCCACCAGGTACCGGCCCTTGCCGCCCGGGTCGCCGTCGACCTCAAGGCGCAGCGCTGAGGAGGCGGCGCGGACGAGCCGCTGGATCTCCGCGAGGCTCAGTGCTGGTGCGTCGTCTCCGCAGCGACGAGTCATCCCGCCGCGAAGGGTCCCACGCGGCCCGCAATGCTGCCAGGGCACGGTCCTCCGCGAACGCTGGCCATCAAACCCGCTGGCAGCAGGTGGCGCTGGGCGTGCGACACTGCGCCGCCCACCCTTGAGCCCGAAATGGCCACAGCCCTCTGCTTCACTGGAGCCTCGGAGAGACAGTCCCAGCAAAGCACCCTGATAGCAGGATGTTGAGGGGGTTATGAGAGGCTATTGAGAAGGGTCCTGAGAGGATCCCCAGGGGCTCTTGAGAGGCTGCTGAGAGTGCTGAGAGGCTCCTGAAAAGCTCTCAAAAGAGGCTGGTGAGAGGCTAGTGGGGTCCTGAGAGGGTCCTGAGAGGGTCCTGAGAGGGTCCTGAGAGGGTCCTGAGAAAGTCCTGAGAAAATGATGAAAGGCCATTGACAGGGTCCTGAGAGGCTCATGAAAGGCATTCGAGGCTCGCACAAGGACCTCGAGAAGATATAGGAGGGTCCTGAGAGACTCCTGAAAGGCTGACGAGAGATTATCGGGAGGCTCCTGGGAGGCTCCTGAAAGGGTCACGAGAGGCTCCTTAAATGGTATTGAGAAGCTCTTAGGGGCGCTCATGGAAGATAATTCTGAAAAAAAACTATCGGGACGCTCCTGCACGGAACCTCATAAGGTCCTGGGAAGTCTCGTGAGAAGCTCGCGAGGGCTCTTGATTGTGAGACTCTTGTTGCAGACGTGTATCGAAGAGACATTGGTTGATCAGTGCGTCATATACAAAAGTACACCAACATGCTTGACAACGTAGACCCCAAATAGTGAGATATTGCAGTGTGTATGTGCAATCCATGTAGTGTGATGTATGAAATCTTTTCCATGTGGTGTAGGGCTGTGAAGTGTGAACTATGTGGCACAACTTATATGGTGCAATATATGTGTTGTGAGCTATGCAGCGTAAACTATGTCGTGCAAGCCATGTGGTCTGAGTTATGTGATGTATATTGTGTAGTGGAATCTACGTGACGCAATACATGTGTGGCGAGCTGTGGTGCAGGCTATGTGGTGCAAGCTAAGCTGTGCAGTCCGTGCAATACAGTAGATGTGGTGTGAGCTGAGGTGCAGAATATCTGATGTGAGCTACGATCTGCGAGCCATACGGTGTAAGCTATGTGGTGAAATCTTGATGCTACGCGCCAAGAGGTGCAAGCTGTGGAGCGCAAGCTGTGCGGGTCATGTGCTATACGGACGGTGCAGCCACGAAGCGGCCGCGAGCGGCCACGTGGCGAACCCTCGCCAGACCCTGGCAGCGCACGAGGCAGCCACGAGCCACGGGCGGTGAAGGGGCACAACCTCGCCCGACCCGCCCAGCGCACGAGGCGGCCACGAGGAGGCCACGGTCGGCAACGTGGAAAATCCTCGACGGGCCCATCCAATTCCAGAATGACGCAAGCAAGAGCCCTTGAGTGCAAGCACCGCTTGGGGAATCTATGTTGGTGGTCCCCGACTGCGAAGCTGTGCCCACGGCGGCTCGGCGGGTCTGCGAGGCAACAGCAGCCGCGCACATGTGTTCTGAAAGTCTGCAGTAGCCGCAAGGATAGAGGGCGGTTCCTTTTCAGAATGGGGTTGTCGCCCGAGCGCCGCCCACATTCGCTTTAAACGTTTGCATAGATTACAAAGATGGAGAATGATTCCTTTCCAAATGCCGTTTCCGCCTGATAGTTATCCGATCTTGGAGACAAGACTCGAACAGGTGTAAAAGTTGCACGGATGGAGAACATTTCCCTTTCAAAATGGCGCCCTCACCTGGGAATTCCGCAAAGTGCATGACCGTACGTGCACATCCGCGCAACAGGTACACCAATTGAAAAGCATTTGTTTTTTTTTTCAGAACACGGATCTCGCTGGACACATTGTTGAAATGTGTGATCGTACCGTCTCGCCTTTTGTACGATGCACCAGGAGAATGCCCAGCAATTCCTTTTCAAGACGGGGCAATCGCCTGAATGGGAGGCCCCTTGGGTGCTGGCGTTTCGAATAAACATGTCATACAGCGGAAAGGAACGCTTACATAGACTTGTAAGGAAAGAACTTGGGAAGGGAGAATGCATTGCACCATCATTGACTGGTACATGTTGAGCTTACTCTGGCCCTCCTCCGCCTCATCGTCACCCTAACAGAGAAGCATCCGAAACAGTAAATAAACGACGCTGAAGAGCATGTCACGTGCCATGGATATCCCAAGCCTCGGAACACGATGCGTCATGCGCTACGGCTTCCTATCAATCGCCACAAAAGGTGCTGGGTTGGCGGAACGGTGGCGAGACTTGACGCAGGAAGCTGGATATCCCAATTTACTAGGGTTACGTGCTCCCCAAAAAGTAGAAGTGGGTTGACGACTTCCCCGTGCTTCTTGAGCACGCGACTCCCTCAGGGGGCCAGGCCCTCGCAGAAGAAGGAGATGTGCCCCAACAAGTGGCACGCGTGCCATGGCTCTTTCACAGACAGGAGGGGGGGGCGGAGAGAAAATGCAAAGGTCGGGCGGGAAAAACGAGAACGCCAAAATCCTTCAAAATCCTTCGGAAAATGAATGAATTTTGCCTGCCAGGGTCCGTCCTAGAGCGTGTTGGAGTCCTCGTCGGCCGTCTTGAGGGCATCTAGGGCGTCTTCGGAGCCGCTTGGGACCGTCTTGGGCTCTCTCGGGACCCCCTTAGCCTGTCGTGGCCTGTTTCGGGCCGCGCCCGGGCCGCCTCGGGAGCTCTGAACCCCCCCCACCCACAAGCCCCGGCGGGCACCTGTGGGAGGAACAGGCCCCCCCCCCCTCGGCCTACTCCGATACGGCCTACTCCGATCGATATATATATATATACACACACATATATATAGAGATACACACATCATCATGAGCATCAACATCCATACCATCATTATCCTCCGCATCGTCATCCTCCTCATCATCATCAGCGTGGTCGTGGATATCGTCGTCAGCATCATCACAACCATCACGATCACCATCATCATCGTCACCTTCGTTATCATCATCGTCATTATCAGCATCTTGTGGGGCTTCTAGGAAAGTACTTGAGGGCCCATGCGAGTCCTGCTTGTCAGGCGCTTTGGGACAGGTGTTGCGTGCGGGGAGCGGAAGCCTGAGGAATCATGTTATCGGAGAGCTTTCTGGTAACATGATGGCGTGTATGAGGGCCCATTTGGGGGCTGCCCGGCAAGCATTTTCGGACGCATGGTTGGGGCCGGGGGCGGAAGCCTGAGAAATCATGTTCCCGGAAGGCTTCCTGGGAACATGATTTGTTGGGGTGTCGTTGGGCGCCTCCGGAGGCTTCAGGGCCTGACGTGTTTCCGAGCGTGGCGGCAGGCAGCGCTGCTAGGGACTCTCGGTTTTTTTTCCTGGCAGACGTTTTGGGAGCATGGTTTGGGCAGAAGGCGGCAACCCAAGAATCATGTTGAGAGGAAGCTTTTTCCGGGAACATGATTTGTTCGGGCGGTGGGCGGAAGCCCAAAGAATCATGTTCCCGGAAAGCTGTCTGGGAAATACGATTTACCGAGGCGTCTTGGGTACCCGCAGGGGGCTTCCCTGGGGGGCCCTTGTGTTGAAATACCCTCTCTGCTCATGATTCTGTGAGTGTATTGTAGCATCAGCAGTTGCATTGATTGCATATGCATCCATAGCCCTTTCGGCACAAAACACTTCTTCATGGTAGCGTAGGGTGCTGCTGCCCTCGCATGCCGCCGAAGAAGCGCTCGAGAGGTGAACGTCGATCTGAACATCGACGTCTCGAACGAATCCTACGAGGTCAACTCCGCCGCGTGGCTGGAGAGCGGGCAGCCCCGCCCCAGCCTGCGGCCTCTGCTGGCGGGCAGCACCGCCGGCAGCACACCAAGGAGCGGGCAGCCCCGCCCCTGCCAGAGGCCCCGCCTCGAGCGGGGAGTAGGTCGCGGGACCACCCGCGATCGGCGTGCGAGGAGCGGCCCAGGCGCCAGCGCGGGAGGCGCGAGCGCTTGGATCCACGGGGAGAAGGAGGGGCTGACGCAGAGAGGCGTAGCCCGACTCCTCCGCCAGGCCCAGTGGGCGGCTGGACGTCGCTCTGCGCGAGGCCGAAGCGCTGCGGGCAGCCCCGCAGGCGCGAGCAGGAGCAGCCTTCGGACGAGCACAGCGTCCGGAAGGTCAAGAGAGAGGGCTTGAGCCAAGAACGAGATGGCCGAGGCAGCGCTGCAGGCAGTGCAGGCGCAGCTTCAGGAGGTCACAGAGCAACTCCGGTTGCTCCGGACAGAGAACCAGCAGCTTCAGACCACCGTGACCCAACAACAGAACCAGATTGGAGCCCTTCAGCAGAGCCACGCCGCGGCGGGCGCGGCAGCAGCGGCGGCAGCAGCGCCGGGACAGACTGAGGTGCTGCAGCAACTGGTGTCTGTGCTCACGGAGCAGACGAAGGCCCTCGCGAGGCGCGAGAGGCCGCAGCTGGTGGACCAGAAGGCCATCGGGAAACCATGGACGTTCACAGGAGATGAATCCAGGTTCCCGGAGTGGACCCGCAAGATAGAGGACTATGTGTGCGGTGTAGAGCCTCTGCTGGGTCGTGCGCTGGAGTGGGCCCTGGACCAAGACGACCCTCTCAGCGTTGACGACGTGGACCTCCATTTTGGAGGCGCAGACGAGAACTTCATCGAAGGGATGAGGGGTCTCAACCAGCAGTTTGAGGCCGTCCTTGCCAGCACCACAGAAGGCGAGGCATGGACGATCGTGCAGAGCAGCGCGGGAAACGGCCTGGAAGCCTGGCGGTTGCTGCACCGACGCTTTGACTCGCTGAGCGGCGGGAGGCGCCGGACACTCCTGAGGGCGATCATGTCACCGAGCAAGGTGAAGATCGAGGAGCTCGGGGCGGCGCTGCAGACGTGGGAGGCCATGGTGACCAGCTACAACAACAAGGCGCAGAAACTTGGCGAGGCACAGATTGCGGACGACTTTCTTGCCTCGGCCTTGGAGGCCATGGTGCCCGAGGAGCTGGAGAAACACTTGTAGCTCAACGCGTCCAGGCTGAAGAAGTACGCCGACGTGCGTGCCGAGGTAGTGCAGTACTACGAAACCAGAACGGGAAAGCAGGTCAGGATCAGCGTGCGAGACCGCATGCCGACTGCCAACGCGGATACCGGGGTCAAGCCCATGGGCGTCGACTCTCTTGCTTGGAAGGGCAAGGGCGAC